AATAATTACTTACGATGATATTGACATATATGACGCGAACGTCTAGGTCAGAAGATAACGTAATTTATTATTTAAGGTCAACAACATCTAACGTTTCCATAATTGCATACCCCTCATGTAGATACTTTTTTCTTCTTAATGACGATATAACTTATATTAAATCAACTGATTTGATTAGTACAAAGTTTCTCTTATTTTCTGAAAAGACAAAAAGGCTTCAATTTCAAGAAAAATGTAACGGTGAAAACCGCATCTCGATATCTCGGAGACAGAACGCTTTTTATTTGTGATGTCAAATAGGTATAGGTATTGTGAATTTTTATATTTTTGTAAACACGCTTTTTATTGTATTTCACGTAGAATCCAGTGACGTAACCAGTATTATTCTATAACTTTCAATTTTCAGTAAGATCTTCGAAAATTTTCTTTCACACGATATGTACACATTTATTTTTTCCTCAAGTACACATTTTTTTTATTTAAACCATTAAATTACGAATTTTATGATTAAATTCGGAGTGCTATGTATTTTTTTCATCGATATCAGATTGATCTAGGGCACACTATTTGTATCAAAGATGAACTACAAAAAAATGTAGGTATCGAAGATGAATTAAATAAAAAATATAAGGCTTTTTTCGCGAGTGAAGTCGTATGTTGTAGTACGTGTAGTATGAGTGAGTGAAGAGATTTAAACTACCACAGGACAACTAAGATCAAAAGAGATAGAAATAGTAACTACAATTCAGATATTCACCAATATTCAGTCGCGAAAAAAGCCTATAGTTTCAGTGTTATTTTTTTAATACATGTAACTGAAAAAATTGACGCTAAACAAAAATATCGCTTGCGCTATTGGAACCTACGTAGAAAAAACTGAATTCTTTATAACTGAAACTATAAAATAAAAAATTTTTGTATATAAAAATAATATTCGACATCAAAAAAACTACCAAAAATGAAAACCACCCATCTAAACCAATCTTGATGCGGTTTTCACTGTTCAACTTTCTAGCCCTCCGAAAGTGTCGAAATTGGCCCCCCTTATTGTATTACTAAGTGGTTGTGCTGTGTTGTCAATAAAATTGGATATATGATTCTCACAGTCATTAAAATCTAACAAAGCAGTTAGATCAGTCATTATCATTAACAGCAAACATGTGCAACCAGCGAATATGTTTATTATTTGTTTTAAATCTGCGGTCGGTAAAGTAAATTACAGGAAACGCCAACATACAGGGTCGGTTTTACTACTAGACAAATCGAATATAAGAAAGCGTCATATTATTTTATACCATAATGTTTTATTACATATTTACAACCTGGGGTACTATATCTCATAAAAGCAGCAATACCTATCAATTTAAAAATAAAAATACTTTATTAACAACATTTCAATTTATAATTTTTTTTTTCTAAAATTATGTAGGTACGTAACTTAAATTCTAAACTACATATTTTTTAAATTTCATATTTATTTTTTATTTTTGTCTTTCTTCGAAGTCTGATAATAATAACATATCCATCTGTTTTTCAATACTCAAAGATGTCTCTTTTATCAAAAAAATGTCACAGATGAGCTTATTTATTTGTTTTCTTAATTTAAATTCGCCTCCAGTATATCAAATATCCTGTCTGTCAAATTTTCTATATTTTTAAGACTTATTTACTTTTTAATATTTTTAACCTTATATATATATATATATATAATATAATATGTTCGAGTATTATTCTACTTATTATATTACTCATTGGGCGGTGAAATGTTTAAAGCCTACCCTGTTCAGGGTAGGCTATGTTTTCAAGGTTATCTTTGGCAAAACCAGGTAGTGGAGACGTCACTGCGTATTCAATTTCTATGAATGATTTCTTATTAATTGAGCAAATAATGATTTACACTTTCTTAAAAACCTGAGCAAAGAATTTAAAACCCCTTGTGAGAAATCAAAATGTCTCATTTCCCTAAAATATCATCAGTTTTTAACTGCATGCATTAACATTTATTACCGTATTGGTTTTAATTAAATGTAAGATTGCATAATGCTTGTATAAATAATTATTGCCTTATCTTCATGAACAAAGTCCAAAGGAAAATGGAAACATTGTTCAAAAGGATTAGAGGATTAGGATTAATAAGAATTCTTTTAGAGACGCGATCACTTATCAAATATTGTGCAATATATAGATACAATATGATTCAACATAAGTGTAATCTCTATTTTCAGTTATTTTTTAAGACATTAAATATACTTTTTTTCAAAAATAAAGAATATCTCAATAACTGTATACATTGGATCCTACATATTTTTGCACATTTCTTTTCTTCCTTGTAATTCTAGGTATTTATGGTAGTATGTTTAATGAGTATTTATGAGCCTATCTAAAAGATGTGGACAAAAAGTAGTAGGTATGCCATCATAGAATAATGCTATAGACCATTTTCACAGAAGTGTTTTCTTCCGACCAATAGTTTAAATATACTTTGTTCAAAAATAAAGAATATCTCAATAACTGTATACATTGGATCCTACATATTTTTGCACATTTCTTTTCTTCCCTGTAATTCTAGGTATTTATAGTAGTATGTATAATGAGTATTTATGAGCCTATCTAAAAGATGTGGACAAAAAGTAGTAGGTATGCCATCATAGAATAATGCTATAGACCATTTTCACAGAAGTGTTTTCTTCCGACCAATAGTTTCGCCTTTCATTTACCGATTGCTCGTAAAATTAGTGTTTCTAATATTTATTTACATATTTTACATTGTCTAATGGTACTATACATAACCATAACATATAACGTACTGATAGATTGTTAATGTTTAATGAATGTTATTGCTAAAACAATAACACAGTTATTAGTAGTTATTTTTAAACCGTTGATCATTTGTTGGCAGCCCAAATTATTGTAGTTAAAAACTCCTCATTCCCCTCATAATTATGTAGGTAGGTAATTATGTATAACTATAAGCTGTTATGAACTGGTGCTATAAAATTGGCGACCTCGCAGAAAAATTACGTTTATAAAAATATGGAATACAGGAAATAATATACAGTCCGATTATATATGGAAAATTTGTATTTCAATACTACTACAAATAGTACAAGAAAATGCTAGATTCTAGTAATTCTGCATTTCAGTTATCAGTGTCATAGATATGGGGGAATCAGCCCCTTTCTTAAAGCGTAATTTTTACACCCATGATTTCTTGAAATATTTCATGTATAGACATGATATATTTCTTATATAGATACAGGGTTATTCACGCAACTGGTTCATTAGAAGGATACGAAGTTACCACAATAGGATTTTGTTGAAATTTTGAATACCCAGGTTACCGGCCATGAGCTTTTCAACAAAAATATTTTCAAAAATATTGCACTTCCGCTTATATCGGAAGTTGCCACCAACTTCGTTATTTTAAATGGGACACCCTATATATTATTGCATTTTCGAATTCTACGTGAAAATTTGAGGATCACTTTATTAAACATTCCCTATTACTCCTAGGAGTTACAGAATTTGAGATATTAATTTTTAAAGAAATAATTTAACAGATGCAAGGGTCCGCGGAGATGCTAGTAACTCTTTTCAGGAGCCTGATATCAAGTGGATTTTTGGTACCTGTAAAGGGGCATAGGTAACACTAAATTATGGTAGACCAACAAATTAAAACATTTACTTCTAGGTGTTTCATTTTTGCTGTAACATTTTGATAACTTCAAACAGATATAACTTTGTTAACTTAAATGAAACACCCTGTATTTTTTTACTCTGTCGTATGCAGATTGAAATTTCCTTTGAAGCCATATAAGCATTGTTAGGGTTGCCGTTACTACTTTTAGAGATATTTGCAATTTTCTATTATTTGGACAGTTTTTCTCCGTTTTTCTCGTATCAGACCTGTTATCAAATTAGTCATGACCAGAAATCCTCCAAAAACAATTGAAATTACTTGACATTTGTCAAGTTAGTTGTCAAATTATTGTTGTATCAACAGTTTTTGCTGAAAATTTGAATGAGGATTATTTTAATTTGTTTGTTATTTATGGAAAATATGACTAAGTAATTTCAAGAACATGTAGAGAATTTGCTGCTTTTACACGCTCCTGAAAAGAATTGCATCTGTCAAATTTTTTCTTTAAAAATTAATATCTTAAATTCTATAGTGACCCTCAAATTTCACGTAGAATTCGAAAATACAATAATATGCAGGGTGTTCCATTTAAAATAACAGTTATTTTGCAAAATATTTTCATTGAAAAGTTCATGGCTGGTAAAATGGATATTCAAATTTTCAACAAAATCCTATCATGGTAATTTCGTATCTTTCTAATGAATCAGTTGCGTGTCCGTCGTACATTGTTAGCATACATTTATGAACAAAATTGCTCTTGTAAAATTTTTGCACATATGCATTTGCTGATGTCTATTAAACTGCTTAATTTTCTTAAAAATTGCAATTAAGTTCATTTACGCGGTTAAGGGCTTTAGAATTTTTATATTTTTATTTTCGTAGGTGCAATTTTTTACCAATAAATGTGAAAATTTACTTAACTGAAAAAAGGCAAGGCAAAATGGCAAAACATTAATAAAAAAATAATAATCTTGAACTTTCATTAACAGTCTCCTATGCACTTAACTGGCGACGACCACAGTAGGTAGTAAGCCCAAAAAATCATCATACTATCGTATGGAGTCACCCTGTATTAATAATATTTTACTGATTTCTAAATTTTAAATATAAAATTACTAATAAAGATATCATTTTTCAATAGACTAAAATCGCATTTTACTTTTTTGTTAGATGAATACATAATCTGCTAGTATTATACTGTATTATTTTTATTGTAATTAAATTGTACTAAACGCTTAATTATTTCAAAATACGAATTTTGTCTAATATACTCGTTATCTAAAGTCAATTTGTAATTAGTTATTACTTTAATAGTCGTGACCTTCGTATGCCTTATATCAGATCAGATAGAGCTTAAATAATACAAACATAATTACAACATATATAATGTAACTATATATTTAACAGCAGCAATATTTAGTACTGTGAAATACCTTTTTATTTATTATTTATCATTACAAGCGTTAGGCGTTCAGTTCAAGCAAGGTCGTACGTAGGGCAATGCTACTTGTAAATACAACAATCGATAACCTTTAAAAGACAAGAAAATAAGGTCACTTACTGTTTTTTCCCACTCATCACTTACTTGCAACATACTGTTGATAATTTTTTTTTAGGTAAGAACTATAATTCTAATTTTATGTTTTGTAATTGTAATATCACAATGGTTTATTTTATGACAAACCGGTGACCGGTGCTACGGAAAGCGCAGACACCAGACACTACAAGTTCATAGACGTACGATTTTTTTTTCTAGAGGGTTTCCCGTTCTTCTGTAATGTCTCAGATAGCGCTACCGTATTTCGCCAAGGGTGAAGTTGTAAAGGGTTTTGGAAGAGGATCAAGAGAATTAGGATGTCCTACTGCCAATTATCCAGAAGATGTAGTAAAAAAGTTGCCAAATGAAATAGAATGTGGAGTTTACTTTGGAGTTGCTTCTGTTGATAAAGGTGAAGTCCATGATATGGTATTGAGCATTGGTTATAATCCATTTTATAATGGTACAGTGAGGACAATGGAAACACATGTTTTACATACTTTTGAGAATGATTTTTATGGTAAAGAGTTGCGGGTTGTTTTGTTGGGCTTTATTAGACCCCAAATCAAATTTAATTCATTAGAAGAATTCAAACAAAAGCTTCGCGAAGACATAGCTTATGCTAGTAACGAATTGCAAAAACCAGAGTATGTAAAATACAAAAATGACAGTTTTTTTACAGATTAATCCCTACATTTAGTTAAAATATTTTGTCGTACAGTACCTATTTCGTTCTGTATTTACAATTCTGAAAGTCACATTAATTATTTAAATAAAAAATTAAAATAAGTGAACTTTTCTACTGTTTTTATTTCTATTTTGTCAAAAGCTATTGGTTTAGCATAATAAGAACCTTATACACCAACACATAAAAAAGTCTATTATGAAGCTATTTATCTAGCCCATATAGGCGCTAGGATACGTCCGTATACAACATCGAGAGTCGAGACTCGTGCACGTCCAAACCGGTCTTGGTAAAACCTGTACAGGTAATTCATGCAGTAACGATTTGCGGATTTCAGTTTGATACTGGTTAAAATAAAATATTTTTGACAATATATTGCCAGTATTGTATAATTTAAATGTAGTGGACGGGAAAATGTAAACTATTTCTATTTTTTGTGATTATCGCAATAATTTTAACAAATTGCGCATGTGCAGTTCGTCCAGTTTCCTCATTTATACGTACGCACACAGATCAGTAATATATAAGGACGTGCGCAATTGACGCAATTAACAATAAATAACATATAGTCCAAGCATTCTGTCACGGATTAATGTTAAATTTGCAGAAATTATTACCTGGACAAAAAAAATATGACCGTATAGAAAATTAAATTTTAAATTGAGTTTCTTGTTCTTTAAACTCGATCCAATATGGCGAACATGGTTAAAAAAATCGCAAAGTTGAAAAAAACGTTTTTTCTAAAATAACTAAAAAAATATAGCACGGATTGAAAAATTTTAAATGGGAAAGTTGTAGGTTTTAAAAAGATCTATCGACTGATTTTTTGAAAGTATCGATTGCTTTGTTACTTTTCGAGATATATCGAAAAAACCGTTAAAAATCTTCTCTTTTCTCTTCTTCTATAACTCGTTTACATTTACGTGCCCATATTTGCTATTTACTGCAAGCATAGCCCGCGGCAAGCCAAAAAAGTACATTTTTGAAAAATTTAAAAATATTAATTATTTTTCGAGATATATCGATTTTTTGAAAAAAAGGCGCTCTCGAAAATTGGCTAGATCTTCTAAGCGAATAGCCCTACAGTAACGATTTTCGGTTTATTTTCTTCGTAAAGAGTTATATTATCATGCTGTTAAAAAATATTGACGATTTTATTAATTTTAAGGATCAGAAAATGACTGAAAAAATTGCACTTTTTTTGGGTATGTTTTTTTCAAATAAATAAATAATAATAATTTTTATTATTTTTTTGTACTTAATCTGGGGTAGCTAAACACGAATATTATAGCATTTTCGTTTTAGAAGCAAAATAGACCCGTAAATGTTTAGTTTTCTTTCTTTAAAAGCCATTTTCATAAAATAAAAATTGAACTGATATTAGCTGCTAATATTAAAAAAATAGTATTTTTGTCAAATTGAAAGACCCTAATGCTGGGGCCACACTAACGCTGTTAATTATCGCACTATCTTGCTTTAGACGTAGGTGTAACCACGACTTAGCGCCCTAATTTATCATCATCATTATTAATAGCGTTAGACGTTAGGCGATATTGCAGGGCCACACTAACGCCTAATGCCGTTAATTATCGCACTATTTTGCATTAAACGTATAGGTGTAACCACGACTAGCCGCTAGTTTATCATAGTCATTATTAATGGCGTTAGAAATTAAGCGATAACAAGAGTGGCGGACTTTTTTGACACAACAGAACGATTTGCGAGGCATTTATCCCACTGATATGGCTACGCTAGCATCGTCTAGGTATTGCAACGCTTAGAGCTTCGAGCATGGTTTAATGGTTGCATAAAAATGGAGTAATCTAATGAAAAAATAATAGAAGTATTTCAAACGGATCCTAGACAAAAAACATAAAATAATAATTGACGCTCATAAAAACTCATATAACTGTAAAGCGGCCTCAATCTTCATGATGAAATTATTTTATCAAATATCGCGTTATTTGTTGAGTAGACATCAAACACAAGGGTGTAGCTATTCACTTTACCGTGTAATTGAATATATTATTTTTAACGGAATAATCATCGCAATAATGGACGTTACACGTTAATCTAAGTGTGGCCCCAGCATTAAACGTAAGTGTAACCACGACTTAGCGCGCTAATAATTTATTATCGTCATTATTAATGACGTTAGATGTTAGGCGTTAGAAATGCTACACACACCGGTACACCGTACAAAAAACCATAAACAAATCTTAGAGTAAAAGTCATGTTAAATATTTCTTAATTTTTTTTATGCGGTTTAATGTAGGTATATGCGAAATATTTGTGAAAACTAAATACGGTACAGTCGTGTTCAGCAATCAATTGCGCAAAGAGGAGAAAGAAAAATTTCGTAGGTAGGAAAGAGGTTATGATGGTACCAACATGTTTATACTTTTCGCATCTTTCTGAAAATAATGACCAAGTAGAGTTATTGTCATAGATGATAACTTATTATTAGATTATGATTACCTATATCATTATTTCCCCCATCCTCAAAATAAGATGTCATATTCACAGAGAACACTATACCAATAGTGTTCTCAGTATGTTAACGTCAAAATTTCGCCCGCTGAAATATGTTACTCTTCGAATTATTTTTTAACATCAAACTGAATATAAATAAACAATTTCCACTGAATTGTGCTTATAATATACTTCAGTAAAAATGATGTTTAAATATGTTGAACGAAAAAGCATCGATATAGTTTCAATTTATGTAGTTGTGCAAAGCAAGAAAATATGAACTATTTGAAACAACTACGTTAAAAGAGCTTGCAGTAATTTTAACTGATCGAGCTTACGATATGATGAAAATATGTATGGAGAAATATATAAAAAATGTGTTATAAAAATATTTGGAATATTACAGCTAAAACAATTCAAGTGCATCGCTACAGTCGATGTCCTGTGAACGAAGCATTAGCCCGCACTAGCTCTATCTCTCTCGCACACGTCTGTGCAATTGGGCAAAATGACAGTTGTCTTTGGAAGTCCAGTAGTTTATTCTGTATCTGTTTATTAGGTCTATGGTGAGCTCTGAGCTCTGAGTATTTTTTAGGTTAATTTTCGAGAGGTTTACTTTCAAGCAATTCGTTTCGTTTTCATTCAATATTCAAAATAAATGGCTTTAAGATGTGCAAATAATTTAGGTTTACGCCTATTACAAGTAATAATTGATACATTTTATACTATACTATGTAATATATGTTTTACGTTACAGTATCCTTCAGCTGGCTTACTAGCTCCATTGACAAATAGTTCATCGATTCAAATTGTGCGACATAGAAGAACTAAACATTGGAATCCCAAATGGAAGCTTTTTCGTCGTCTTAAAGTGATGAAAGTAGATTTACCGAAATTTAACGAAAAACCTGAGGATTTGTCAGAAGAACAAATACGTACACGTTTAAAAGAACAAGGATTATTGCCTCCAAGACCATGGGTGGAACGGCAATTTTTCATTCATTCAACAGGTGGAGTCTTTGAACCATATGTTCCTCCTGAAGGTGATGGTAAAATTTCACCCGTCTCTAAACAAGTAAGACTTGGTTACCTTTCTGCAGAAAGATAGTATTCGACTTAATTTAGACAGGTTAACACCTTCATTTTATTGAAATCTAATAAAGAGAGAGGATAACAAGAGATAGCATAAATAATACTTCGATTTTCTAAAGACCCGGCATGTGCAATAATATTTATAGACATGAACTCATTTATGCACATCATTTTTCAATCCCTGTTGGATTGAAAAACAATGTTCATAAACGAGTTAATATATAGAATATTTTCGCTGCATTTAAGTAAATATAATTAAAACTAACATTTCACAGGCTGGTCTTTTAAAAATCGGTCTGTATGTTTCATTGATAGAAAAATAATAAGGTTTATGCTTTAGAGGGGATGGCAATCAATACAAGTTGAACTCAGTATTTTGTTTCTGTGTAAATTCCAACAAAAATTAGTCAATATCATTTTATTTCTATTAACTTTTGATAATTTTGAAAGTATATTTATATTGTGTATTATATGTGGCAAGATTTTCGAGCACGGTTGTAACTTTACATGTAGAAAATCATTTTATACTTTACATGTAGAAAAGCAAGTAGAATATGTAAATTATGTTTATGTAAAATATGTAATGTAAAATATTATGTTTATTTTACATATTTTACGTGTAAATAATACATGCAGAATAAGTGGAATAATCACAACATAAAAAATTCATAAAAAGTGTAGAAAACACCTGCAGCTTGCAGTAAGAGAATATGTCACATGACATTTTTTTGTCTGTGTAGGTAGGGCTTCAGAAACTGCATTCCATTAAATATTTAATATTTTTGTTAGTTTCATTTAACTTTACTATATTATAGGTGTTATAAAAAAAATATGTACCTAGGTAATAAATTGAATAAATTCACTTCCCTTTTTTTCAGTAAGGTTTAACCAAGGGGTAAATTTATTTGAGTTTAGAGTAAGATGCTTAGGTGTGCTTTTTAGTATTTTTGCTATGTTTTGTTTTTTGTTACTTTTATTATGTTATTTTTAATAGAAAAATCAGTAAAACATCCCTATAATGTAAAATGTTGCTTTTTTGTTACTGACGTGAAATACCTGCATTTTACACTCATTTTTCTACTTGCTCAACCCTGCTTTTGAGTACATAATTGTGGACTTCAACTCGCAAATAAATTTATTGTATATTATAACTTTTACAACTCATATGTAACTTGCGCTGCTGCATCTTGCATTCACAAAGAAGAATATTAGCATGTATTATTGATCATGTAGTAAATCACTTACTGACTAGTAAATAAAATGCAAAAATGTTTTGTAACAACAACAATGCAGTTCTGCTTTCTGCTATATTCTAACTTTATGCCATCAAATTTACAATGGGGAAGTTTCACATTTTTTTTTCTTTTCTTATTAAGTAAATTTCTTGCATTGTAAATAGTCAATTGCCACATAAATTTAAAATTTTTAATTAATAATTTTCCTATAAAAAAATATAAATTCAAAATAATTCTCTATGCACTAAAATGCAGTCTTAAACAATGATGGCTGACTCTTACGTCACGATCCGGTATTGGTCCAAATTAAACGAGACGTGTAGAGTAGTGTTCTGTAGTCTGTCTCACTCTAACTCATTTGTGTTTATGCAAACTACGTGTGCCGGATAAATTTTATATTATTTACTTTTACTTAACACAATATTGTTAATTATTTTAAAAACTGTACATTCTATGGCAACAGAAGCTGGATTTGTCCAAGAGCAATCTGATAATTTGTCAAAAATAGATGTTCTATAAAATATGTTTGCTTGATTTCTTCCTCATTTTCTCATCCTTTGGTACATTAAATAGTTTGTTGGGGGCAGTTAGTGTTGTGGAACTACATATGGGTACTACAATATTTATGTTCAGACACTGTTATGTTTTTCACGTTCTCGTGATGTAATTCTGATCCTGAAGTCGCCACGCATTAAAGCTGCCTGGGTAGATATTGTGAAAATGTTCACAAATTCAACACAAGATTAAATGATAGCAATGCAATGACAGTGCCAGCCTCCCGCGTCTTGACAGTCTTAACACTCATATACCGGATCCTGACGTCACAAATTGCTTGACCAATTATGGACCGTTTTTGCCCACCTAATTATATTCATTATTTTAATAATTAATTACATATTAATAGTTAAATTTAAAGGAGTTTTACATATGGAAACATACTTTTATAGTAATTTTCTGTGCTTTAAATTTTGCTTCAAATGAAAATTTGATGCAACTTCCTCATTGGTTAAATAAACAAGCCACAATATTAAAACTTAAGAATAGCTTTTATAAAAGTAGTTATCTTTAAGTTACTATTATAATAAAATACTAATTTATTTTTAGGGTGCTATGCAAAATATTCAGTTTTTGCAAAAGAAATCAAGAACAATGATGGCTATTCGAAAACTTCGTCAGTATGATGAAGATTTTGATACTCCAGATTTTTGTAAAGAAGCAACTAAAATTTACATCAAAATGCATGAAATGATGGCTGCAAACGATAAGGATGATATAATTAAAGTTGTAACAGAAAGAGCATATCCTGAGGTTATGAATAATATAGAAAATAAGACAATTCATTGGAAGTATATTAAAGACATAGAGTTACCCAGAGTTGTTTATGCAAGGTGTACAGACATTATATCAAAAGAAAATGTGTTTGCTCAAATTACAGTTAGATTCCATACGCAGCAGGTAATGTCCTTAAATTATAAAAAATTTATTTAATTCTTTCCCATATGTTTAATGGATCGTACAGGGTGGGCCAATTTTGATATTTTAGTATAGTATTTAATACATCTAAGAGTCGATTTTTCAGAAAAATAGGGCAAAAACTACTTCTCAATGTATTATTTTGTTTGGTATATACAAGGCATTTTTTATTGTTGGGCATTTTTTGTGTTGTCAAATAACTTTCAAATTTCATAATTTTCATAAATAAAAATATTTGTGAAAAGTTTGTTTTTGTATATTTTTCAAATTTTTTTTCAGACAAACTAGTGGTATGTGTTATTTACATGTTATAGCTTCAGAGGTGTGTTCCTGGTCCTTTTATGCCAAAAAGTTTAAATGAAAATGTCATTGTTGAAATAAAATATCACATTTTTTTAAATACATCTGAAGATGTTTTACATAATTTATTGAAACTTGGACTGTCTAACCAATTAAAGGTAACAATTTGCTGAAATATCATGTCGTAAGAATATGTCGATCAATGGTAAAAATACTGGTAGGCACTATCATTGAACCCTAGAATTTCTACACTATTGCATTTTTCATTGCAGGTATCTGTTTACTAATTTTAGAAAAAGAACATATTGCATTTTATTCAAAAAATGAGCGCTTTAAGTTTATCAAAAATATTTTCAGAAAATCTTTATTCCAAATACAATTTTAAATAACAGGTATTTGTCAAAGGTTAAATTGTAGTAATTTTCAGAGGAATAACTTAAAATAAAACTGATACTAATAATGACATTTTTCATTTAGATGTCTCTTTTCAAGGTACAGACTGTCAATGTTAAAATTTAAAAAGATTGTTATTCATTGTCTTTTAAGATATTCAGTTGCAATTTTGGTTAGAAAAATTGATATACAAATGGAAGAAACGGGGTTGCAGTAGACATTCTCTCCCCTAACTTTTTCCATTGAACATTCAAGGATGTGGTTCTTTTATACATTCTTTTTTACTCTAGTTATTTTCATTTAGGGCATGGTAAATAAGTACAAGAGAGAAATGCTTGTTCCAAAATACAATATGCTTCAATCTGTCATGTCCTCTATTCCTGCTTCGATTTTTTAAATCAGAATTGTGCCGGCATTGGATAAAAGAGCATACAAAGCTACAACTAAAAAACAGCAGAGTTTTAATTATAATTTTTACAACCAATATCTTGAATAAGAGAGGCACCTAAATGAAAAATGACGTAAGGAAAGGTCTAATCTATCCACCCAAAGAATTTGTGGTTAGTGGCTTGATCTACCCTTTATATTTACTAAACTATTAATTTTCGATACTGGTCTAAGTTTTCAGTAATAGAACTAATTATTTTAACCAAACATAGACAACCAGACATAGACACACATAGACCAACTAGACCGGCTATATCTAATTCCAGTGCACGGGTATCAGTGAATGCAAATTGCGGGGAACTGGAGTGTACGAGGTAATCTGACCGTGCGTACTTTGACAGGTCCGGATTAAGCAATATTTTTACACTTACGACAATTTCCAAGTTTGGAATTCAGAAAATAATATATTTTAATTTCTTGCTTATATTAAATAAACCTACAAAATAATTTAAATATATTTATTGTCCTTAAGTAATGTTGTTTTATTTAATATTTTTCTTTTCGTAGATTTTACTGAAATAAATATTTTGACTTCATAATTTATTCTCGCATCAATATACTTTTCACATACAAGTTCTATTAAATGATTAAAATTGTTAGGGAAATTATCAAATTGATGTTCATGCAAATTTTCAAATATGTTCACATTCAAAAAGTTTTTTAATACATGATACACAATTTTATTTTTCTATATCTTGGGTGTACTTTTTTTATAGTTATTAAAAAATTTTTTTATTTTTTCTGTTTCTTAAATTGTCATTTTTCTTTTTTAAATGACGTTTATTTTCTGCGGGTTATCTTTTTTTTTTTCTTTTAGAAATGAAGGGAAGCCGCCTAACTTCATATTTTAGTTTCTTCTTTCTTAGGGTGTCATCACTAAAATGTTTATATAATATTTTCATTATTCATGATATTCAAAGTTGACATCGAAGATGTACTACTTAGGTCAGAATATGATGACTGCGACGTGGTAGGTTGGCTGATAGGAGACGTAAAAGAATCTGAAGATTGGGACTGTTCTTGTTCATAAAAAACGATTAGTGAAGATAATTTTTATAAAATTATGTGGTGAGCATTAAAATGTTCACTAAGTATTGGGAGAGTCCTACATGCAAAAAAAAATCATTCAAATTGCACAGTCCAGGCAAATGTTACAGCAGTATTCTAGGTCAAACTTAAACACACTGTGCATATACATATAAAGTATAATTAAAATATTAGATTCGAAAAATCGAAGCAAGTATAAAAATTTCGTAATTATTTATTTTATCAATCAAGTTTTCCAGGGTGCCGAACATGAATTTGAAATAATTTTTTTGTTATTTTTTCGATCGTAAAAAATAATATCACATTAATTTTCAACTCCCTCGAAATTAAGGGAATTGGAAAAATTTCATATAAATTGGGAACTTTTACATAAATAATTATTAAAAATGTGACAATCATTATATTACATTAATTCATTATTTTATTAACAATTTATAATAACATCACATTTACCATTGCACTATGTGTGCGAACAAAATTATAAAGTCAACCCTGGAATACTCTGACCTTAATCAAGAAATGGCGTAATAATGGCTCAAATTTACGTTTTATATATAGCTTATTTTACATATCTAGAGAAAGAAACTTTTCAGCTCTCTTCATCAACTTGTTCACTTCTATTTATACAATATCCTACAATACATTTGCCCATGAAAAAATAACTAATTATCAAAGCGACATGTACAGCTCAAGTTTCCAGATACGACTGATGCTGGGCTACCGACTAGGCTCCCTACTGCCTTCATCATAATCGCTCTATAGCCAGTCTAGGTGGTCTATGCCAAAAAGTTTCATATGAATGTAGATTATAAAACACTGTTTTCAAAATGTACAGAGTGTTACGACTATACACATTTTTTGAAATATAGTTGAGGATGTTTTACATAGACTAAAACTGAATTCACTGATTTATCTAATTAGAAGTAAAATTGTAATAAGATGATTAATATGTCTACCAGTGACGAAGATATTAGGTGTTACTACCATTAAGAGCCCCGAGAATTTTGCATTCACTGAGCATTTGCAAATAGTGCTTTTGATTACCAATGACATTAATTTCATTTTTTTCGAAAAACAGGCTATTCCAATTTTTTTTTATGTTAAAATGAGTTCACTAGTAAAGTTAATAAAAAATAACTTTAAAACAATTCATTTTACAAAAATAGTTTTTGGGAATATTTTATTTGATATACAATTTTAAATACAACTTAATTTGTCAAAAGTTCAAGAAATCATTGATGTAAATTTTTTATTTTTAATTAGATAAGTGAAGTAAATTTCAACAATCTATACCAAACGTCCTTAGAGATATTTCAGAAAATGCCACCTTCTTTCCCAATTTCAACACCCTAAAATCTAATTTAAAAAACGAAACTTTGTACAACCCACATTTTTATGAAACTGTAATTAGATAAATCAGTGACCCAAGTTTCATCAATCTATGTCAAACATCCTCAGATATATTTAAGAAAACGCCATATCTTTCTAATTTCAATACCTTGTATCCCAAAAATGAAGCGCACATTTAAGTGAAACTTTTCGTTTAAGATAATCTGTTCCTGTCAAAGTTTTTTCCTCTTTAAAACCTGTAGTTAATTTTTATACTCCAGGTATTATAAAAGTGCAAATTTTCAACCTCAATTTTAAAAAGTAAAGTCACTTTTGATCTCCAAGAAATTAAATTTACTTTTTAAGGCTTTTAGCTTTAAAAAATTATTAACATGTTTCCATTTTAGATATTGGCAGTTTATGATCGTTTCGGAAGATTAATGCATGGTAGTGAAATAATAGCAAAAGATGTTTTGGAATACGTAGTTTTTGAGAAACATGTAGCTAATCAGTACGGAATTTGGCGAGTGCATGCTAAAATCATCCCTGATTGGTTACCCCCTAGAGAACCCACTGCAACCACTTACTTGAGACGTGAAAAATCACCTTCAGAAATAGAAATTGCCACTCCTGAAACTGAAGCTAAAGTCCATGATATTAATAAGGAGCCAAGTGCATCAACTCCTGCTTAAATTGAATAATCTCATAAAAGACTTGTGGGGTATATTAATAATATATAATATAATATTATACATCATGTGTATATTTGGAGAGGTAATTTTACACATGAAAACATGAGAAAAAATTTTAGTTATTTTTTTAATTTCAGAGTTGGTGTTTCACCAGAATTATTTACATTACAAACTAGTTTTTTAAATTTTTCTTAAAATTCTGTTTTGGCCCGAATTTTTCTCTTAAAAAAAGTGATTTTAAAAATTCACTATACTAATTACTACAAAAAACGTATCAAATGAACCAATATTGATTGATATATCTTGGGAAATATGTTTTTCTTGACAAAATAATTAAATTCTGAATATACAGGGTGTCCCAGAATAACCTGTACAATGGAAGACCACAGATTCGTGGACTCAAAATAGGCAGATTTAGGCTAATTCACCTATATCCGAAATCGCTTCGTTTAGCCGCTAGATGGCCTCAACGTTCAAGAAACTTTTTTGAATTTTGTAAATAACTTGAATACTTATTAATCATTTTTGACTATTTTTGGGTTGTGGACTGTTGCTTTCAATCTACACATTTTGGTGTTAGTGTTTTTTAAAACTTACAACTCTTACAAAATTGATGTATGATGATAATATCTGTTCATAACTTTTTTCTCTTTCAGGCAATAATGACAACTATTTTTTTTTTCATAGGTGATACCATTTGGCCTCTTGTAAAATTTTGATTAAATTAGTGGTTTGGGTACAGGAAATATATTTTTTACAATACTTAACAAAGTGCTAGTAGTCACTGATTTTGTAGGTTGACTGTAATTTCAGTTTGAGTCATTGTACCTGCCAATTCTTAATCAGTGTTTATAACGATAAGATGTATACCACATGTTACTTCATTTTTCGATATGGATACACACATGACGAATTAAGAGTTGTTTACAACGTGCCTAATTTTATTGAAATAATTGGTAAAAACAATCAACTAATAATAATACACGTTACATGTGGAAGCATGCAATGTTGTTTTCAGAGTGCCCCAAAGATAATAGTCACAAGGTGTTAAGTCTGGTGAACGTACAGGCCAGTTAACAGGAACGTTATCCGATCTATCGACGAGGGAATCTTTGGTTCATATACTGCTGGACATTTAAAGTGAAATGTAGTGGAGCGCCATCACGCATAAACCACATGTTAGCTCTGAGTAATAACGGTACGTCTTCCAATAACTCGGATTTTGCAAAAATTCTAAATAAAATTCCCCATTCAGTAGAACGGTGTAGAATAACAGGGCCGATAATAATGCTATCAATGATCCCAAACCAAACATTGATGCGAAGTTCATGCTGATAATATTTCACTTTGACAGCATGTGGTTTTCTTGAGCATACACATGTTCATTGTGAATATTTATTATTCCGCTTCTAGTAAAACAGAATTGGCAGGTATAATAATTTAACCCTTTCGCTGCGCAATACGTCTGAACACAGCTACCGCGCCGTGCGCGAAAGTTTATCGCGTGTGAATATATACGTCTGGAGCAGCAGTTAGACCACTTATGGTTTTACATTACGTTATGCTAAATTACGATTTACGATAAATTTTACAATTTTATTTTAAATAAAATACATTATATCGACGTCTGTACTAAATAGAAACTGAAACAGAGATGAACAATCTTGGCATTATTACGAATACCTCCTTCCATAAAAATATTTGTCACAATCGCTATTAGCTCCGCCCGCAAAAATCCCCCATACTAATTGCAGTACTGTGCATGGTTGTGAACATATACAGTTTGAGCAGCCTGATCTAACTTAACTATTCAAGCGGATTAATCCGTCTGGAGCAGTTTGAGCCCTATAAATTTTTAGTGAATAAATACGTCTGGAGCAGTGAAAGGGTTAAAGATCAAACTGAAATTAGTGTCAGCCTGTAAAATCACAGCTACTAGCACTTTGTTAAGTATTGTAATATGGGTGGCAAGATAATATATACATTTGAAAAATATTTCCATCATTTCATCAAAATTTTAAAAGGGGCCCAAAAACTTCCAAATGGTATCACCTATCAAATAAAAAATAGTTGTCATTATTGTTTGAAAGAGAGAGAAAGTTATGAACGGATATTCTCACCATACATCAATTTTGTAAGAGTTGTAGGTTTTAAAAAACACTCTGTATAACACCAAAATTTGTAAATTGAAAGCAAAAGTACACACCCTAAAAATAATCAAAATTGATTATTACATATTTTGAGTTATTTAGAAAATTCAAAACATTTTCACGAACTTCGAGGCCATCTAGTAACCAAGCGAAGCGATTTGGAGTATAGGTCCATTAGCCTAAATCTGCCTATTTTGAGTCCACGAATCTGTGGTCTTCCCTGGTACACGTTATTCTGTGACACCCTGTATACTCAGTATCACTCGTATTTTTTTCCCTCAGAAGTATACCATTATTTTGGTATTGGAAAAAATTTTTTATTATTAAGACTTTCCATTATTCTGTTTAATAATAATTATTATTATTCTCATTTGTGTTTCTTTCTTAGCAAATAAAAGCAGGACAGTGATGTCCTAATTATTTTCAGTTAAATAATGATTTCTTACACAAATAAAAACATTCATAAGTTTTTTACCACGTTATTTTATTTTATGGTAAAATGTGAAAAGATGGCAAACATCTCATTACTAAATTTAGAATGTTGTAATTTGTTTCTAAAATACCAGCTAAAAAACTACCTCATATTATTATATTGATTCATTGCACCTTTTTAAACATGTTATCATTGACTACAGTATTCAATGCTTTTTCTTATTTTTTGTAAAACTGTAGTCCAGAGAATTTTAAATTCTCTGTCTCTGTTGGGATACCTAATCCCTGTATTGAAAAAGTACTACAATTTTTATTTGACAGTACCAGCCATGCAATGTTGGTTGTCTAAACTTGACAGTCATGTGGCTTGTAATAATTTATTAAGGCTCTGTACCTACCAACAGATTGGTAGGTTCTCAACCAGTAACAAAACAATGGGCATGTTCGGCAGAAAAACAGTTACTGGTAAAGTTGCAAAACGGTAACAAAAATCTGTTGGACATGTTGGTACATTTTTCGCATTGGACAGTGATGGTGAAAGAAGACAGACAGAAGACAGTTGTCAAATTTTTGAATTTCTTTGTTGACTACAGTTAAGAAACCGTGGACTAGAGTTATCATGAAAAGAAATGGATAACTTGCATTTGTTATTAATAGACGATGAACTAATAGATCTTTATATATTAGGTGAAATTGTTAACAATTTATCACAACCTTTACAAATAATTAACAATGATAAAAGAAGGGTAATACCCAAAAATGAAGACATTTATGAAGTTAAAATTACTCTTTACAGTAGAATCCCGATTATCCGTGCACGGCTGATCCATGCGGCAGATTCTTTGTGCGCTGCAATGTATGTGGATATTTGCACTACTATGACATCTAGAGAGTGTCTCTTTTATGTGCTACAAAAAATGGCATTGGCGACCGCTCCACGACTCATTCTGTGGTAACCCACATGCCAGCAGAAAAATCGCAAACTGTTGCCCAACTATTCTGTCTGCTGAATGATTTGTGCACGGATTAGTAAAAGTTTTTGATTTGTGCTAGTGGGCATGGAGCAGCAATTATATTTAAGATGTGTCATACAGGGTGATTCACAAACTGACCAAAAATGAAACCTTGTATCTTTGGTGAATTGTAAGGGGAGTCTTTCGTATATCATTTATCTAGGATACTTCATTAAACAGATAACAAGGTATTAAACTTAAAAAAAATAGGTATTTTAAATTTTTTAAAGTAATTTAAAAAATAGTGAAATAATTTGAATTGGGCACATGCATTTATGTAAACATTGTCCAAAATCTGAAGCCTTTTCCTCAAATTTAGGTGCTTCAGTGGCGGAGATGCGATGCAAGGTATCGGTAGCATATTTTTCTAAATAAAGTAGTATGCTACTGCTTTACGGTAACAATCGTGATATTTTTGGCTTTCAATTTTCTAAAACAAAAAAACGAATATGATTTCAATATGACACAATATTCTTAAGGCTACAAACTTTAAGATAAGCAAAAAACGTTTTTTTCTGCTCATATATACAGCATTGAATGTAAAATATATCTGTAGGTGTGATCATCTCAAAAACGTGTCAAAATTATTGCATATTTATATTTAAATATCTCAAAGTCCTGATGTGATGGAGCATTTTTACAGCCGGATTCAGATTCAGGGTGAAAAATAATGTCAGAAATCACTGTCAGATTAAAAAAATCAAATGATGTGCGCGTTATCGAATAGACCATTGCAACCTCTAGAGGAAGATGTATAATAATCATTGGATTTATAGAATCCCACCCAAAGGGTCGGTGTATAAATCACCAAATATATTAGTGATTTTTAAGTAGTGTTAATGCATATTAGGTAAAATTCCAAATTAAGTCCTTCAACAAGAATCTTAAAAAATATATATTTTTAAGAAATTAACATTTCCATTTCCTTTGGGGGTCGTCCATAAATCACGTGAGGTTTTTAGGCCACTTTTTTACACCCTTTCTCTCAGCCCTGGTTGATATGTGGTGAGGTTGTAAGCTACACCCCCCCTCCCCTCTCTATCTAACATTATGTGTCAAGATTTTCAGAATATAATTTATGAAAATCAATTAAAAAACAACAGCGGTGGTTGTCAGCCAGCGCGGGCGGGACGACAAACGATCTTACAACGATCAACCACGTCAATTGCGCGTTATTTATTATGTCATAACGCAGTTCACAGCAAAGCATTCTCGGGCATGGTTGCGCGAAAATATACATGTGATATGTAACAACAACCCCCCCTCCCCCACTGTGAGCAATAGTGATGTTATACAAAGCCTCCCCCTCCCCTATTTGGACCTCACGTGATTAATGCCATTATGCAACATCATTTAGATGAGTTATTTATCTCAACTCAGTTATTTTCTCATTCGAGTATTAAATTGAAAGCAACTATACAGGGTGTTCCTAAATATCATGTACATAAGGGAGGGCATAATTCTTTGGCTTATTTCATTACTAAATGTTCATATAAACATAGGTCCGCAAACGCTTAGGTAGCGATCTACAGGGTGTTGAAATTTTAAAATTTTTTTTTTCTCTATAGCTCCCACAGTTTTTGAGATATTTAGCTCAAATTTGGAATAGAGGTTACGCTGTAGGGCATTGGACATGCCAAATGGTCGTGATATTCTACAGTGATATTTTTTCGGGGTTCATGTCCCCTTTTCTTCCTCTGAACTTCTGTGCGGTGCGCCGCTGGTAGATTCTAAAATCAAAATTGGATTTTATGTTCTGTTGACACTGATGATTTTTTCGTATTTGCGATCGTTATTGAAAAAATAAAATAAAAAACGATTTTATGTAATTCGTTAGATGAAATTTAAATTCTTAAAATGGTCCAGTACACTGGTTTTATTTAGATAATCTCGTTTCTATTAGTTTTGACAGTTTATTTGCCACTACCTGTTAAAAAATTAAAGCTGGGATGACCCATTTCAAAATTCACAAAATTTGGCATTGTTGTGAGATTACAATGAGTATTTAAAACACTTTTACACCTTACAGTTTATAACATAAATTTTTAATTTTTAAACAGACCCAAGTTACGGTTTCAAATGCGAACTGTCAAAATTAATAGAAACAAGAAATTATGTAAATAAAGCCAGAGCCTACTGGACCATTTTAAGAATTTAAATTTTCTAACGAATTACATAAAATCGTTTTTTATTTTTTTCTCGATAACGGTCGCAGATACAAAAAAATTATAAGAGGCAAATAAGTTTCTCAACAAAACATAAAATTCAATTTTGATTTTAGAATCCACCAGCGGCATACCGCACAAAATTTCAGGGGAAGAAAAGGGGGCATGAACCCGGAAAAAATATCACTCTGTAGAATATCACGACTATTTGGCATGCCCAATGATGTAAGTCCTACGGTGTAACCCTATATTCCAAATCTGAGCTAAATATCTCAAAAACTGTGGGAGATATAGAGAAAAAACTAAAAGAATCTTAAAATTTCAACATCCTGTAGTTCGGTAACGAAGCGTTTACGAACCTATGTTTATATGAACTTTCAGTCATGAAATAAGCCAAAGAATTACCCCCTCCCTTATGTACATGATATTTAGGAACACCCTGTATATTCATATACACTTATGAGTAAATAAATTTAGTTACTCATATGCACATACAGATCTAAAGAAGTTCCAGACATTGTCAACGCCTCCATTTCGCTGCTGGATGTTTGTTGCACGATTTTTTGGAAGCCGTGCGTAGATCGGTAACGAAGCGTTTGCGAACCTATGTTTATATGAACTTTTAGTCATGAAATAAGCCAAAGAATTACCCCCTCCCTTATGTACATGATATTTAGGAACACTCTGTATATTTATATACACTTATGAGTAAATAAATTTAGTTATTCATATGCATATACAGATCTAAAGAAGTTCCAGACATTGTCTACGCCTCCGTATCGCTGCTGGATGTTTGTTGCACGATTTTTTGGAAGCCGTGCCTAGTGAGACTCCTGGGAAGGAGTAGAAAGTTGTATTGCTGAGAAAATTTTTATTAAAATTTGATGAAATAACTTTGCTTTCTTTTTTTTTGTGAATAGAATTCTTTTTGTCGGTCAAGACTATTTGTAAAAAAATTAAAAAACTTTTGAAGATTATTTGATGTAATAAAAGTCCAATTTATGGTTTTAACATGGCACGAGAGTCAGAAGTCGATTCATGTTTGAAGCGCGGTGTCATTGGGTGGATTTTGCTGCATTGCCCGAAATAATGTCTGAAGTGGATTGATCGTGGAAGACTGGATGTTGAATGAACTAGATGAATCGAGTGAATAGAATTCTTTTTATTTCAGTCCAACGGAATTTGTGCTTATTTTACATCAGATTTAATGCAAAATCCCTGGTTCGGTGACAACAGTTCCCTATCTTGTAACAACTTTTAAGATTTTACATATTCTCATATGTAAAAGTCGCCCCTTCAAATACACAAACAGAATTCTGGCATACCTTGTACCGTATCTGTAAAATATTGTAAGAAAATAAAGACAAATGCTCTTAACGTAAAAAATATATTATTAAATAATACAATATTTCTGAGAAATACAAAATAAAATAGTCCAATAAGTTATTAATACCATTTTAAAGCTAATATTTCAATTTATAAAAAATATATTAATGTACAACGATTTGCACAATATTCACTAATACTTTACACAAAGCTGCTAGAGGGCTGTTCTAAGAACATCCCTTGGTTTCTATCATTGGGCACTGAAATGTTCTTTGACTTGTGAAAGCCGTTTAATTGACCCCAGTTTGGTGGTTTGATTGGAACTATTTTTGGTTTAGGTGGTAATGGAGGAGGATCATTGTTCTTATTGGCATTTGTGTTTTCTATAACGGTATTTTCTAAACTACTACATTTCGAAGGTGTCGACTGATTTGACTTTGAACTTTCCTCGGAAGATAAATTACATGGCGACATCACCCTCGAGCTGTTCATTCTAGAGTGCTGATTTTGGTTACAGATCAATTTATTATTTATCCTAGAAGACTCATTCGCCAGTAAAACATTCCTGTTCTCGTAATTTGACTGTTCTAATTTTTTCGCCGAAGCTGCCGTGGGATTCCGTTCTACTTTTAGAGGAAGCCTGGTCTCGCCAAGGTAGAATCGGCTATTAGTTTCCGTTTCGTTTGTTCTTATTGGTTTGTGAAAGTTATGTTCGTTTTCTTTTAGAAAATCCGGCAGTTCAAAATTTATTTCTGTACCACGCTGATCTTCGAGACGGCACCTCTGGGCTCTCGTTAAACCCTCAACCAATTCTGGAATGAAATAGAAATAGATTCAAATTAAATGAAATTTCATTGGGAAATTATTAAAAAATAAAAAAATAAATATGATCTACGAAAAAAAGTTAAATAAAAACTTTTAGGTTTTTGAGTTACAGGCCTTTAAAGCTGTTATGAAAAACATACTAATTTAATTAATAACTTCAAAACCCTTTTAGCGATCGCGCTTAAAATTTAGCACATTTATTTGGACTATAATGGCATATTATTTCTTAAAGCTTTAGTCAAGTCAATATACTGGATGATAGTTTTTCCGCCTTTTAGCGGTCAAAACTTTTACAGTGGTCGTATTTTTTTAAAACTGGCAGCAACATTGAATCGGTCGTTTCATTTAAAAAAAATATTGTCCCTTGAGAAAATTGCCCAAAGAAAATCAATCTTGAGAAAAATGGCATTATTTGCAGGTCTGTGCGTTTTGGTTTGCATAGCAGTGTTACGGATTTAAAACTTCAAGTTCAGTAGGCGATGAAAACAAGATGTTGATTGCTGTGGCCATCAGGTGTCATTATTATCGTATTTCTCTAGTGAGGAGAATCCTCACTCCATACCATGCAAATTATGAAGGGTCCGCAGTGTATCAAGACAATTAAATGTATGTAAAACTAATGCTCAAAAAACTTTAAAAAAGCAACTCCCTCGGATATTTCATTTAACTCCTACTCAAGAACTTGAAAATTTGATCCCAACGCACGTTTACAATTTTGCCACTGGTTGGTGAATGGTTTCACAGAAGATAATAATTTGCTTCAAAAATAGTTTTGTACCAATAAGCCTTGTTTTACATGGAACGAAGTTGTAAATTTTCATAATTTTTTTATGTGTGGAGTGATGAGAATCCTAAAGAAACACTACCATAATGACATTACCTGATAGCCACAGCAATCAACATCTTGTTTTTATCACCTACTTAACTCAAACTTTTAAATCTGTGGCATTGCTATGCAAACCGAAACATACATACCTGCAAATAACGTATTTTTTCTCAAGAATGGCTTTTTGTAAGCAATTTTCTAGACATATTTTTTTAAATAAAATGACCTTTTCAATGTTGCTGCCCATTTTAAAAAATACGACCACTGTAAAAGTTTTGACCTTTAAAAGAGAGAGTTAACCGAAGAAAACTATCACCCAGTATATCAATTTGACTAAAGCTTTAAGAAATTATTATAATAGCCATAATAGTCCAAATAGGTGCCAAATTTTAACGCGATTGGCAAAAGGGTTATGAGGGTATTAATTAAATTGGTTTTATTATTGACAATTTTGAAAGCTTGTAACTCAAAAACCAAAAATTTTTTATTTAACTTTCTTTTCGTAGATCATTTTTATTTATTGTCCTGAATATGCAGTCAAACTTTGTCGGTGAAATTTGCGGACACCCTGTATAAAACGTTTGCAAACACAAAATTCTTCAAATAGTCAATTAATAGAATAATTACAAATTCTATCACGTTTAGTATAAATAAATCATACTGACGAATTTGCCCACAATGCATTTAGAGACTTTTTCTTCAAACAGTGAGTAAAGCAAATTAACCGGAATGCGTTGTGGGTAAAGTACCTACAACGTGAACTAAGTGTTCGCATGCATTTGTTTTGCTTTATAGAGCACTTCTTTTGCCCACGTTGCATTCTGGCTATTGCGTTTTATCCCAAACATGTTCCAAGTGGACTGCTTGTTATTAGTTTTAACTTGACGCTAGTGGTAAGATATACGCAGTAAGTAAGTACTAGTGAATTATTGTGGTTCTTGTAAGTTCTTCAAGACGAAAGCTGAATCTGAACAAAGAATACAGGAATTAATGTTAAGTATAAAATGTAATTCAAAATGTCACAAAAGCAACTCTTGTAAAAACAAATGTTCGTTTTTTTAACTCTTGCTTACCTATCTTTAGATTTCTTTGCCTGTTTTTATTTATGGTATAATAACATATATATTCTATGTTTAAATAAACGCTTTTTTACTTTTTGACTTTTGTATTCATTGTTTTATTCAAAACACGTTCTCGGTAAAGCACAATAGCCATAACACGACGTGCACAAAAGCAATGCTCCACAAGGCAAAGCATGCGAATACTTATTTCGCGTTGTGAGTGACATATTTACCCACAACGTGTTAATATTTGCTTTACTCATTGTTCGAAGAAAAAATCTTTAAATGCATCGTGGGTAAATTACCATATCCATAACACGTTTCGGACAAAAAAATCCACCAGTGGCTTATTTTAGCTATTGTGAATAACATAATCATCTGACATGGTAATTCGAAATGAATGAATATTTGTGACTGAACTCGGAACTGGTAGATGGGGTTATATATCATACAAAATTAATCCAAAAACTATGGAGGTTACTTCTATTTCTATATCCTCCAGTTAACAATAAATAAAATTTAAAAATTAGTCAAAACCCGAACTTGCAGCATGAAAATTATTTATGAAGAATAAAGACCAATATTTAAAAAATCTGGTATTAGAAATGAGACTCTGATCTCCAGAAATATTTTAATTATTTCACAAAGAATAACAATCCATATATATTAAAAGCTGTAGGTTACTCGCTTCCACACTCGGCCGCGAAAAAAGGTGCAAAGTATTATCAAAGGCTTTCCTTGCGACCTGCGCACTTTAAAAAGAGTCCTCGCCGAAAATTGCCTTTTTTCGGTGGGAGAGAGATACCCGAAGTATATCCGATATTTAAACAGAAATGGAGACAAACGTCAGTGAAGACATCAAAATAAATTTTGTCATTTGACGCGTTTTCCTGGATGACCAGGCCACGGTGAGTCGTTACATTGCCGTTAGGCATCGGTTCCCATCTTTCAGAAACGCAACTTTGGCGACAAAACTTGATTTGAACATTTTCAGTTTTCTGTTTACATTCGTGGAGAAACAACGTTTCAAATTGCCCGTGCAGGCTCCACCCATCGTTAGATCGCCATAGCTCATTTTGTAAACTCACGACTACGAAGCCGAAGGTCCAGGGTTCGAATCGCGGTGCTCGAGTCGCGTGTGCAGCACGGCCCGAGAGAAAGGTCAGGTCCGTGTCAGTGGACTTGCCTACCTTTCTATTATTTATTAATACACGTCATATTATGATGCAGAATAATATAGAACGACAACAAAGATTAAAATTTGGTAAAAATGCCTTGGAATTTTTCTGTAATACTTCATTGCCATATTGACAAAATTTTGTATAAACATCATTTTTAAGATTTCGCAAAAATATATTTGCTTTGTTTAGTAAAACGTATCATTATCGTCCCTATTTGAATTTAGCCCCCTCAAACTCTTTTCTGAGTTGCCACTGTTATCAGAAATGAATTTAGAAAATCTATTAGTCTTAACCAGAGACAATTATTTAACAATAATTTCCATAACTTGTAATAAAAATCAAGAGCAGAAATAAAATAAATAATGTATTAGAGGTAGACATACCGTCGCTTTCGCTACAAGTAACATGAAGTTTATTAGCACCAGCTTTCCACTTGGCAATTAACGGCTTCTTAATCTGATTCTGCTCATTTTCTACATCTTCGGTGCTACCACTGTGAGAAGTTCCTTTAAACTTGGGTCCGATTAGTCTTTTTTTTCGATCATGTACACCAGAATCTCGACGGAGGAATTTTCCAATAATCCCAGATGAGTGTTCAGATCCCCAGTCTTCACTCTGTAAGTAAAAAAATCCAAATCATGTACTCTAAATAGAAAAAAAATAGATAAGTTCTGACTCCCCAATTTTAATTTTTTTTTTAATCTTGTATTCAAAAGGTCAAGACTATTTTAAACTGTCACTGATGAAATACAGGTTGTCCTTAATTCAAGAACTTAATACTAACAGAGTGTTCCTTAGATATAACAGCTTGAAGGTTACATGTTAACAATGGTTTTATAAAATATATAAACTGAGGGGTGTCTCAAAATTCATGCCAAGAAGTTATTTTGCTAGAAAACAGGTTTTTGATTAAAAATTGTAATTTTTTATTTATTCAAAGAATGCAATATAGGGTTATGTATGGAATAGCACATCGGGTAAATGGCTTCCACGATTTTGCTGGCACATATTGTTGATATTTTCCATGACCGTTTTGCATAAATGCGCCTCAATTTTTCCCATATAGCACTCAATTTTCTCCTTAAAACTTTAAGACTTCAAAAAACCCCAAGGAAAAAGTCCAATGGCGTTCATTACGGTGTAGTCGGTTGAACATGCGGTGGCAAGCATTTCTCGGCCAGACTTCCTATTCTGGTCTGGGTTCGATCCCTGGCATCGGCACTGGCAATGTCAATGGATAATGGGTGTTTGTCCGTGTTTTTTCAAGTGTAGCCCCCTTCCGCACAGCCTTTGGCTTTGGATCTGGGGGTTGTCTCATTTCTGTGGTGAGTTTTATGTTATGTTAAATCCTGATCACCAAAATGAGAAATTACATGGCCAGGAAAGGACTCGTGCGGTAAATGAATTAATTGTTTCTCAGGCTGTATGGCATGTAGCACCGTCTAGCACCGTCTTGTTGAAACCACATGTTGTCTACCATCTATGTCTTGCAATTTAGGCAACTCCATTTTTGATAACCCTGAACTGTCAGCTGTCACGCTGTTTTTTTTTTTTTTTTTTTTTTTTTTTTTTTTTTTTTTTTTTTTTTCATAGGCAATACTACCACACAAATGGTGCAAAATTCCAATCTTGCGTAAATTTTGGGACACCCAATAGTTGAAATATCAGTACCAAATTTTGTACACTTTTTGCCTAAATCATATTTATAGTCAAAAAAATGGGTTGTAGGTACTTTTTCCTAACCACAATGGTAAAAATATTATCAATTTTTTTTTTAACCTCAGAAAATAACCGTGTCGCATGAGCGATGGTAATTAAAAAAATAATTGCTTTGTACACCCTGTACGCGATTGGCAGTTGTATTAAGATGCCTTGCATAACAAAAATTAAGTACGGTTCTTAAAAATATTAATAACTGTAGTGTTTGGAATGTTTAAATAAAAAATCTTTCCGGATTTAAAGGCACAAAAAGAAAGAAGTGCAAAGTTTACCTTAACAGATCCTTTATCTGATTTAGTAGGTTTAAAAGACACTGCATCTGCTTTTTCTTGAAGGATTCCCTCAAATACTTTATTGGTTATCTCGTCCAGCTTGGACGACTTAATATTATTCATTCTTAACACAGTACCAGTTTTATCATGTTTTACATCTGAAAATATGTTTTTTTTTATAATCGCAGAATAATGTGATATGTATTGATTTACCTTCAAGAAGTTGCACATTAAGTCGAGCTCCATCTATCGAAGTAACGGGGAGGTGCAGATCTATAGCACTGTTCATATTGGTCACCACAACCTGCTCCAAATTGTACTGATATTTATGTAGGATGGGCCTTAAGACGTCCACAATAATTTTGGTATATTTCGATTTAACCGAAATAATTTTACGGTTGGGGAGGTCCAATTTAAAAACGACCCTTTGCTCTACCGTTACTTCACAGCCTGCTAATTTAGTGGAAGGTTCACTTATATCCATCGGCTACAATGAAAATACATTTAATTAGTCAACTCAACTGTTTTTTATTTATTTTTTTTTATCATTAAAATACTCTATCGATGAAAAAATATTTATTAAGTTTTGTAATAATTACCTTTGGCTGTTTATTAGTGAACACTTCAAAAGATGAATATGCGATGCCCCGTTTATCCAGTACCCGCGTCACGAGTTGCTGAATGGTTTCAGATTCTTTAATTTGAACAACTGTTGTACTGCCATTACTTAAAAGTACCTTACACAAAGGTGTCCTATTTCCATTCATATTCAATTCATCCAGGTTTGTTAATCTTGCCTTAGTCACATCCTGAAAGAAATAAGATATTTTTATAATTTTTCCTACAATAAACAACAATCTTATTAACCATTTTGTGACCAAGCGGGGTTCATCTTATATCTCAGATGCAGTTTATTAACCAAATACATGGCCTGCAAAGGCATTCTTTTTCATTTGTGCTGAGAGTTCATCCAGACGAACTGCTAACGTATTATAAAATAACAATGCAGTTGTCCGAAAATAGTTTAAATAACTAGATGGATTTCACAGGGTTTAACGACACTTACAGTGTACGATAATTCAATAAACAAAGACATTTAAACAAAAAATTTAGATAAATTTGGAACGAATACACTGAATATGAATTTTTCGAGACAAAACGTCTGAATCTGGTTCGGGTTGAGGCAATACAGTATTGGGGGTCATGAAGGCTTGCAAAAAATGTAATAAAATTTCCAGGGTCATATTTAAAAAAATTAAGTTGGTGATAGTCCTGGAGAGAAGAAATGTTACATATAAAAATTGATTATGCCATTCGATAGAGGGCAAAAAGTTGCCATGGTAGTGTTCTTTTTTCAATATCACCTCAAACAAGGCTGAAAAGAAACAAAAATGGATTTCCAAAATTTCGATTTTTTCCAAATATTTAGAAAACTAATCATGTTAGCCTTGATTTTTTAGAGGCATAATGTTGGTCTCCTCCGTACCTCTTACCGTTTCCGAGATCCCTGTAGTGAGAAGCGAATTGGTAACAGCCTGTGTAAATGATATGAAATCATAGATATGGTATCACTCAAAGCTTACATTCTATTTACTAAAAACTATTCGAACTGGAAGAATAATTACAGAAGCAAACACAGATATTTTTTGCAATTTTTGGCCCAAGAACTTGCTGTTTCAAATGTAGTACATAGGAAACAAAACAGCAGTCATTTCACAAGTCTTTCAAAACTGCTATAAATTTTTTCCTCACTAAAAACATATGGATATGGACAATTCAAAAAGCTCCCATTATAGAAGCTTGAAACACTTTAAATAGAAAATGATGGTTTTGTCCTGGTAATTGGAATCGAAAGTCGAGAATTTCCTGCACAATATGTGGAAAAGCCATTTACAGAGCCTTCATAAATGTTTACAAGTCACGTGATCGCCGAACTTGGGCAACCTACATTGTAGGGCTGTACTGGTAACGAAAAATCCCTAAATCTTAGCGTCACTAATATTAATGAGTCGTTTACAATGAACAATGACAAACTGTTCGTCTATGCTCGAGTTAATGGGATCGCTGATTGGTTCAACAAAATCACGTAAAAAATTACACCAATCACAGACATTAAACAGAACGTTATGTTTTAATGTAATCTTGATGTTATTGTTTCAATTTCCAGACTATCAAACTGATTGATAACTAAGTACCTACATATCTAGTAACTTTTTGCATCTGTGTTCTTAAATCTGTTATATTTGTAATTTTATTATATTTTAGTAATTTGCATGTGTTTAGTTTATTAAATAACCGTTTATTATTCACTAGTTTAGAATTTAAAATGGCATGGTTTTAATCGTATTATACCTAGCACGGTAACGGCAAAGCTAACATCTGCTATGGAAATGTAACTGTATGATATTTAAAATATTTCTTACTGAATATGAAATGTTCTGATTTACTTTAGAGAAAGCAAATAACACAATTTATTATTTGCTCTTAACAGTAACTTTAAAATTGGTATCTCTCAACACGGTAAATTAAATATAATAAAAGCATACGAAATATCAAGTTTCTGAAGTTTTTTTACAAACTTTCTACATTCATCATAACTTGACATAAAAAATAATTTATGACCTGTACTCTACAATATAACCAAAATATATTTACAGAAAATTTCGTACCTGGTTTAAAATAGCAAGATCCAGAGAAGTTAATGAAGAATGGCTGGAATGTAAATCAGTCCTACCAGTTTTGCCTATTTGGTCATCGACATTTTCATTACTGGCGTTAATGTCGCTCCGTTTTTGTGTATATTCAATCTCCCCTCTATCCTTAGATTTTGATCTGTTCTTCCTATGCCACGGCAATAAAGATTTTCTCCTCCTGTCCTCTGCATTACTAAGAGATTTTTTTAACTTAGAGGGTGTTGATGTAGGTGTGTGTATCATCAAGCCTGCGTCTAATGCAGGTTTTTCTATATCACCGGACAAGCATTGCTTGTAAATATCCGATTTCAAAAATCTAGGATAACTATCAAATTTCATTAAATTGAATATTTGTTTCTGAGCCTGATCGAATAAGGTACAAGTTGGGTCTTGTAGACACTGCTCTGCACACTGTCTACCGTGTGCGTCAACATTCACTGCTTCTGGAGCGCCCACACTAAGATGCCGTTGATAAATTCTTTCAGCCTCAACGATTCTCTCATTGCCAGGAGACAATTTACGATACCTTTCACATGCTGTCCAGAAGTATATATTTTCAGCGCTGAATTCCTTTTTCAAAAATTCCTGCAAACAGATAAATTTTTCAAGTACAGAGATATAGTGTCTTAAGACACTAGTTATAGCATATCTTAATGAGAGAAAAAACAATTTTGTCAATAAGAAATTATTAAAAAACAAGGATAAGTTCAAAGTACAGTATCCATTATTATCTAAAAAAGCAACAGAAATAAATCCATAGTTTTATAGTGTGTTTGCTCATGTCACAAATTCAGGAAATAATTGGTGGATAATTTTCGATCAAAAAACTTTTCAGGTTTTCAAGATGCAGAACATTAAAATTTAAAAACATATCATTTTTATTTAAATGTTTCTGAATATGGTTGATATAGACATTATAGACTGATGAAAATGATTAATAGTTTATCAAATTAAAGGCAAATATTCATAAACTCTGGTCTGTCTATCACTTTATTTGAATACCAACCGCTTTTGAGTAATTTTTTAAATTTAACATAAGTTTTTGCACAGTTAAATAAATCTAAACTGATTTTTTTGTCTAATGATAGGATTTGAAGATATTTTAAATTTATTAAACTGCGTGATAGACTCATTTTAACTTAAAAAAAATATAAGTAGGTATGATACTTTTTCTCAGAAAAAAAAACTTTAAGAAGTAAATTTTCAAAATACTCAGTGGGCTGAAATCTCAGGGTTTTTAATGTCAGTCAGTATCATCTTCACCACTGATTAACAGATTTATGTACCAATTCACTGAATTTTTTCCTTTAATTAGTTATATGATTAGCCCAACTTTCATCAATCTAAGTGAAACAACTTTGGAGATATTTGAATAAATGAGACATTTTTTAGACTCAACAACGTGTACATTGAAAACCATTGGTTTTCTTTTAATTCATTAATTATGTCAAAATTGATATAATAGAAAATGTACCTATAAAAAAATAGACTAGTAACAATAGTTGTTGGTAAAAATGTACCTAAATAGTGAATCATTAATATAATAACTACTGCTGCTTCTTACTTATTGTAGTGACTAATTAATTGTTCTTCAATATAATTGCGCAGTTACGCCGGGTGGCAATAATTTATTATACTTGGCTGAATAATGTTTTTTCATATTACGAGATTTAATACTTAATTTTTTATGATTTTTTTTTGTGTATAGACGTGGAAAACGTGTATGGGATTGCAGTACAAAATTTTTTAAAACACGTAACATTCCAGTAAAAATAAAAACTTTTCAATGTGACATAAGTCATACAAGACTTTTAAAATATGTATTATCAGCAAATTAAAAATCCTGTGTGCAATAACAACCTTTTGTTTATTGTAATCTCTTATGCACTGTTCTAATTCGGCAAGATTTTAGGAATGATTTTTACACACTTGTGTCCCCCATAACAAGAAAAACGCTAAGTGCAAAATCAGGAGACCTCCGTGGCCATTTTATGAACCCCTTTTGTCACGTTAACAAGTTGTCGTTACAGGCAAGAGTAAAAATTTTCCCTAGGCGCCGCGCGCCGCAGCCGCCGCCTTCTCTGTGACAACACAATTGAAATCGGACTTTTGCATTTTTACTGAAATGTTAGGTTTCTGAAAAATGTTGTAATGTAACCCCATACAAATTTTACACGCCCGTACGCAAACGAAAAGGGGTTGAATCCAAATAAGAACAGAAAATAGCCATTTAAAAGAAACACAATTGATTGCCGTGGCAAGGAAATTACTGGCTCCGAAACAAACTCGATGTTACCAAAAGGCGCAAAAAACTGAACTAACAAATTTGTTGTCTCAACATTTTTTCTATACAAGCTGTTTTTAAAAAGTTATAAACATTATTCTATACATATTGGTCACCCTATATATAATATTCAGCACGTACTTTGTAAAAAAAAAAATGAATTAAAACATTTTAACGCGTCTGTGTATAAAAGTACGTATTGGATGTTTCATAAATAAGAGTACATCTTAAAGAAAGAGAAAAGAAATCTAAAAACAAACAGCAAAAGTAAATTAAATAACAGTACACCACCTAATCATCACCTAAGCAACAGAAGAAGCAATACTGAATTGAAAATGAAGATGATATTTGTACAGGATTTGATGATTTATAATCAAGAATATCAAGATCGACTGAAGGTTAGATTAAGTGCTCTCATTGCATAGGGAAAATTTGTTTTCTTTTTTCACTCGTATTTTTTTAAAGTTATATTATTTTTGAAATATAATATAAATATATATGTACATAATAAAATGGTCATTTCCATGGGCGTAGCTAGGATCTTTGCTAGAGGTGGGCCCAGGACTGCAAGTTATATGGAGGCCACAAAAAAAAACCTAAACGCTTTACAATCAGCGACTTAACCGATATAAAATTTCAAAACCAAAACACTTTTTGATTTGACTGGATGGAAAATGCGTCCAGTAATAATAATGGAATTTTTTAAACATGCAGCAACAATTAAAGGGGGGCGTGCTCCCCTGGCTACGCCCATGGTTATTTCTTTAGTGGAAATTTGGGATATAAATAAGTTACTAAATTTGAAGAAAAATTAAAATTTTTAGAACGAATTTGAATTAATTTAATACCTTTGAAGTAACGTAAAGATATGTATTTGCCTTTCTGGTACTTATAGTGTCGGGTTAAGAATAAACGATATGAAACCCTCATGTAATAAATATTCAACCAATCAATTAAATGTGACTCAAGAATTATATGTAAGTAACAAAAAATAGGTACTCACAGCAAAAGTGTGCAGCCCTGCCGGATCCTCCAGCAATTTCTCAAAAGAGGTGGCCCAAGCGGCCGGTCCTTCCGTGCTACTGCATTTCGCAACGCCATTCTGGTCACACTGTAAAATAGAATAATTGCCGTCGATTAACACCAGCATGAAGAACGAAATTTATTTGTTTATGTTATGGGACACTTTAATCGTTTAATGTCACGGTGTCGCAGCTGCATTTCAATAAGGCTGCATCTATACTACGTACGACACGTCCATTCACGGAATTAAAACGGAATTACACTGTCCCCCATGGATGGCATAAGCAATTTCTATTCCCTTAATTGAGATAAATTGTTATGACTGAACTAAGGCTAAAAGCATATAGGTTTTTCGTGGTGGTGGCCAGTGTAGTGCCAAGTATTATTACGTTAATAGTTGCTGTATTTAACACCGGTAATTAAATAAATAATAAAAAAAAACAGTAAACTAACTAAATTTGCATGACCCTCGTAAACAAAGTTTTTAAAAGCTAAAAAAGTGATAACATTTAACAAATGCGACAGCGGCATTTTAAAAAAAATATCTGTTTTGTGAATATAACTAAACAATAATTTATTTGTATATTTATAGTTCATTCTGAATTAAACTGAATATGATGTTATACAGGGTGTCCCGCAAATTTCACCGGCAACGTTTGACTGCATATTCGCGACGATAAATAAGTACGATCTACGAAAAAAAATTACATAAAATATTTTTGGTTGGCCTACTGAACTCAAAGTTTTAAATCCGTGACATACCGAAACGTACAGACCTGCAAATATTGACATTTTTCTCAAGAATGACTTTCTGTAGGCGAATTTCTCAAGAGACAATATTTTTTTTACATAAAACGACCTTTTCAATGTTACCCGTTTTAAAAAAATATGAGCACTGTAAAAGTTTTGACCGCTAAAAGGGTGAGGTAATCGGAGAAAACTATCACCCAGTATATCGATTTGACTAATTCTTTAAAAAATAATATGTCATAATAGTCCAAATAAAAGTGCCAAATTTTATCGCGATCAGTAAAAGGGTTATGAAGTAATTAATTAAATTAGTTTTATTTTGACAACTTTGAAGGCCTGTAACTCAAAAACCAAAAAGTTATTATATAACTTTTTTTTCGTAGATCGTATTTAGTTATCGTCGTGAATATGCAGTCAAACGTTGTCGGTGAAATTTGCGGGCACCCTGTACACGAATAAAAAAAATAACATTTACAAATCGAGATGAAAGACTTTTTTCGACAGTGGTCAATATTTTCGATCACGAAAACAAAGATTTTCGTTTCTGTTGTAAAATCTACCAAAATGGCGTTTTGAGTACATTTTACTAGGCACTTATTATGAAATACATTCTTCTGAATGTCGACTATTTAATTGTGAAGATTTAATTCATGTGAAGAATTTTTGCCACACATATTGCTCATTTAATTTTACGAAGCGGTAAATTTGATTATACAGGGTCGGAAAGTCCCCATGGTTCATCGGCCGTTACGTAAGAGAGATAAAGAAAGTCATAGAAATCCGTGCGATAGAGAAAGATGACTATAATGAAGGCGTCTAGAGTCACCGCCCATTTCGCCCTTCCACAAATAAGATCCACTTCTTATTCGTGGAAGGGCGAAATGGGCGGTGACTATTAGACGCCTTCATTATAGCCATCTTTCTCTATCGCACGGATTTCTATGACTTACTTTATCGCTCTCACGTAACGGCCGATGAACCATGGGGACTTTCCGACCCTGTATGTTAGAAAATATTCTACTTCATACTTCATATTCGTAAATCGAATGCTTTCCAAAAAGCTTTCATAAATTATTACCAATAAAGACTAATTTTTTACATAAAACTTTAACCAATATTTTGTGTTGTAAAGGAATGGATAAAAATTAAGACAAATGCAGCAATTTTTTTTGTCATAATTAACAAAGTAATGTTTCCTCCCAAATATTCATTCTGTGCAGAATTTGACATCTAGAGGAATTGAAATTACATTTATCCACTAGACATCGTTAAATTCTGTTACAGCATTATTCATTCAATCTGATGGTAAAACTAAATGGGTTACGACGGCACTGGCGACAATAATTGATGTAGGAAGGATTAATAGAATCGCTAGTTGGTGATGAAACATGTCTCACATTAAATTCTGGATATAGTATATTGTAACAAATTGTAGATAGGTACAAAGGTATCTCAACAAAGATAGTTGTTAACTGACGTCATAATATATATTTTTTAAATGTATTACTAAATGTATCATTAAATTCAAATTAATTTTATCGAGTAATTTTTATCAGAGTAAGAAACAAATGTGTATCTTTGAACTGATAGGTGTATCTTTTTCATTTTATATTAAACAAATTCCATTATACTTTATACTTATAATATTCCCTGACCAAAGGAAAAAATAGTGACGCATCTTTATTTGCCCAACACATTCCAAATTATAATATGTACAATAAAATCAAGGTTTATTTCTGTTTTCTGCTTAGTTAGTTGAATTGTTTACTTTAAGCAGTAAAATCGTCTAAACAAATAGTACAGTTAACACTATATCTACTTCACGTATTCTGGAAAAATAAAATTAATTGTCTTTCTGTGCGTTTTGAAACCATTTAAACCGAGGTGGAAATCGTTGGTTAAATAATGAACTAATTTCATAAAACATATTTTTTTATTAGGCTAAATTTAATAAAATTTTCTGTAATTTTTGTTTGTATGCAAAAGAAATCTCATGCGTGTATGTTAATGAAAAAAGTTATCTATTTACCCGTTAGAAATAAGTATTATTTAGAAAAAAATTACTTTAGCAACGTACATAAAATATAAAGTTTGCTCAAAATTTAATTCTTCTTGTTTGGTTAGTTTCGAAGTATTTTAGTGTAAATTTTGGATAAATAACTAAAAAACAGAGAATGAGCGCCATCCAAATTTAAAATATTCTAACTTTTTTTTGTTTAAAATTAAATTGCTATGGCACACGACACGGCTAATTAAAAGTGGAACGGTATAAGGGCGACAATATGGTTTAGGTACTCAGTATATTATATACAATATTTATGCCAACAAATTCCTGGTGCGAAAAGGGGATAAGTATATAACAACTAAATTGTTGAAGAGACAAAATCGAGGACAAAACACTTTTTTAATTCAGTATGTTTTATTGTCATATATGTAATTTGGCCAAACAATTGCATTTGAGTAAGAGCGAAGTATTTGTGTAAATAATGATTATCCAAAAGATCATGCGTCTTTATTTATTTTTTTGTTTTTAAATTTACACCAGGTGGAAGAAGTGGATAAGCAAAACAGTTTTCCGTATAAAGAATATTAGATAGGTACAAAAATAGTAATAATAGTAATATAAACAAATGTAAAAAAAATTAACACATAATGATGCATTATTGCACCAGTCTATAGCATGGGATAAGTGATTTTTATCTTTTACTTCAATTTCAAGTATATTAATTTCGTATTCACATCAGGTGAAAAAAGTACATTTATAGTGTAAGTATATCTGTAGAATTATGTTTCAAAATTATAAATTTATAGTTCCCTTCTTAAACCAGGGTTTCAAACTGTGATTAGTACAATCTAACTATAATTTATGTACAAATATTAATTGTACATACATTTTAACTGTAAATAAAAAAAATTATGATGTGAAGTAATTATTTTATAGAAAGTTCCGAATAAACATTCCTTCTAATTATAGCTCTGGTACTAATATGACTAAATTATTTTGTAATAGGCAACAATAATTACGTTTAGAGTATCCATATTTACATGAAAAATATCGACAATACGTATAGATTTATGCATGTAAATAATAAGCCTTTAACCCAAAAGTTTAGGTTTTAAATTCACCAATTGTCTAATTGTAAGACAGACAGTCTTACAAGTAATTACAATTACAATTAAGTTGTTTGGAAATTCTAAACTTAACTGTTGATAGTTCTTCAAAAAAAGGTGTCGTATTTTTATCACGCACAAGTAAAAATTATAATTTATTTGGGCAATAAATCACTCTACCATGAGGCCTAGTGCATAAACCGTGTATTCTAAGAGGTTATGTCTAATATCACATAATCAAGTATATGCTGACGCCTACGCGCTTTGATATAACACATTTTTTTTAAATAAATAAAACCATTGCAATACACATATGCTATTTTCTACCAAAACAGAAACAAATATATGGACTACCTATAATTTATTCACATGCAAAGAAAGCGAAAACACAAAGACATAGGCAGAAACTACTGAATAAATATTTAGAAACATTTGTATAAATTGCTGTGAATTGTAGTGATTCATCCAAGTTTAAATTTGTTACAGTATTTATAGAAAACGTATAATTTATTGTATTAAAAATTGTGCGGGAAGTAAATGAATGTGAGAAAAAAATTGTAAGAGTCATATCTCACCACTAGAAACAATATTAACTGTGTCTACCTACATCACTAAATATAACACTTTGGTGAATAAATCGATTATCTTACACCTACCACCTTCAATTTTACTAAACATTTTTTCATGGTATCCATTCCATCTCTTTTTTGGTTTAATTATTTTTAATGACTAGCTCACTACACCGCACCTGTTAAGTGTTGCAATTTTTATAATAAAAACAAGATAACGGTATTCGTAGATAAGATATATGACAAATATCTCAGTTTAGAAAGTATGTTTACATGTAACAAATTATAAAGGCAATAAAAGATCGCGAGCTGTCAGGGTGCAGTTGTAAACTTTGGGGAGTGATTAAGGTGAGATTTTTAGATTCGATCGGGGCATGGTCAAGTACCGATATTATATTTAATTTATTTCTTTCTTTAATGTTGCGAAATTCGCATTTTCCATATGTACTTCAGAAAACGTCAATTATATTTCAGATACCTCAATTTTATTCAATTTTACCATTTCTACCATACATTATTTTGTTATATCTCAAAGGGTTTAGGCAGCGTTTTCGTTGAAAGCTCCCAGACGGCTTATTTTTTTCCGACACCTCCAACAAATATCGTCAATGTATACACAAACTTAACAAATTATATACTAAAACCTTCCTCGAGAACC